GTTTCCAGTCTTTTGCCATTACAAACAACTCTGCAATAAGTACCTCTAATGTATGTAATTTTATAATATATAAAGTATAGAGGTGCATCTATAGAAAAATTTATAAAAGTTAACCTGCAAAGGTATAAGCATTTTTAAGATATTATAAGTTGCATTCTATAGAGATTGTCCCGGTTTTATGTTCCTACACATGTTGGTAAGGCAGTATATCAGATGCTTATTTCCCTATATGCTCATCACAGCTTGCTTTTTCTATGGATGCAGTTTCTGATATACTAGTAATTAACAGAAATTTAATTACTAGACATGTTTGCTTTTTATATGCTAATAAGTGTTAGGGTAGAAGTGAAAAGAGAACATATTTTGAAATTGTAAAGAAAAAGTGAAATTTCTATCACAGAAGAAACCTCTTTATCTGTTTTCTTTTTGTCCTACTGATGTCTGGATATCTTGTCCCTCCTGACATTGGAAGAGTAAATGTATTTCTTCCTTTTTTTAATGCTCTGATCTAGGCCAAAGTGGAGATGGCAGAACCCACCTTAATGACAAATATGGCTATTGATGGCTTCAGAATCCCAAAGGAAGACCTTGTGGACCATGCGACATGGGATACTTGGGATAATATATCAAATTGAATGGCTGGAGAAATGAAGATGATCATTTGTAAAATCTGGTGACTGGCCTTTTCTTCTGTGCTCTTGGCTTCCTAAATCTATCTGCCCATCTGATTCTTCTGAATGTGATATTTATGTTTAAAAGTGTTTGTGTATGTATGTAAAAAGGGAACCATGTATTTTGAGAATTAGTAAAGTGAGGGACATGACTCCATAAAAATGAGGTGACAGTGTTTCTAATATTGGTTAAAGGTCACAGCCTTTCACTAAGACTTAATGCTTTTCTTGGGCAATAAGGTGCTTCTGGTGGTTAGGTTGTTGGATTCACTGATATTGCCTCCTCAAATAACTGTTGAAATATGGGGTTATGCTATGGGTGTGACTCTTAGTTCTTGTCATTCTTAAAACTAAAAATAGATTCACAGAGAGGGCTTCTCACTGCCTCCAGCTGTAATCCTCGTGCCAGGTGTGAGAACAGACCCTGACTAATCAGGACATAGTTAACCATTGCACCACCTCATGCACTCAGGCACCAGTCCTGATAAACACTGAGCCGGATGAATATCCAGGACTTGACCAATCAGTTAGTCATTTCTCTTGTGGAAGGATGCAAATAAGTCATGGAATGAACAGCTGGATGTGTTCTGCCCAGTGTGGGGCTTCTCACCTGTGTGGAGAGGGGAATAAAAGTTCCTTCCTCTCTGGAAACAGGAAGAAATGCTAGAAGATGTCTTATTCCTTCCCCTCACCCTCCCCATCATGAATGCCTCACTTCCATAGAAAGGAAAGCCTAAGAGTGAAGCGAAGTGGAGAGCATTTGGGTTTGGCTGAGGCAGACTAATCAGCAGGCAGGAGAAGTGCTGTGGCCCAGCTAGAGAGTGGATGAGGCGGACGTGTTCCTAAAATGGATTACACACATATGCATGGAGGTAGGCAGGAAGCAGTAATGAGCATCTTCAGTTATTCTGACAGATGTGGGAAGTCTGGTCTGCTAAAAGTGATAAATCCTTCATCTCTCAAAAAGGAATGTTGGTATTATGAGACTCTGTAATGGTGGACTTCATTCAAACCAACGGGGAAGAACTGGTTGATGATATAAGAAGTGACAGGAATTTGGGTATGAAGTGACCATGGCATCTTGCATTAAAACAGTGGGCAAAGGTCTGAGCCAGATCAGTGGGCTTCAGAGATGAAACTCTACCAGGGGTGGGGAACCTGCGGCCTTCTATTTTAATAAATCCTTTTATTTCTATTAATACATTTTTGTTCATCTTTTATATTTTTATTTTATTTTGAAAACAAATCTAGGATTTGTTCTGTAAAATTGGCTTCAGTCAAAAGGCTTAAGGACCTAGAAGGCCACATGTGGCCTTAAGGCCGCAGGTTCCCCAATTGTACATGGGACCCTAATACTTGATCAGGTAAAAATATACTTGCTGTGGCTGAAGTGAAGGCAAAGGGCTTGGAGCTCTACACACACACACACACCCTCTCCTCCTCACTCTACCCTCACAGTCCTCACAATGACCCTGAGGAATCTTGGGGGCTCCACAGAACATAGTCTGCTAATAGGAAGGCCAAATGTTCCTACCAAACATCTGGGGACACTAGGTATGGTCCCATGTCTAGAGATGCTGAAAGCAAATAGTACTCCGTATGCCAAAATAAAATCTAAATATGTAGCCTGTACAGTTAACATCAGTGGTCGGTGGACTTGATTTAGAAGATCCTACACATGAATCTTAGCTCCCTTTTACTAAATAGTAGATTGGGCACATGACTTAAATTCCGAGTCTCAGTTCTGTCATCTATAAAGTAGGGACAGCAGTGCTTCCTGCTCTTGGAACCTCAGATTTGTTCTGAGGATCAGATGAAATAATGTAGGAGAATGTACTTTACAGGGCTTTATAGACGTTAGTAGTTGTTATTACAAAAAAGGAATAGATCATAACATCTTGGACTGATTTTCCTCATCTGTGAAAAAAGAGATGGGATTAGATCAGTGATTCTCAACTGTGGCTGCATATTAGAATCACCTAGAGAAGATTTTAAAACTTTTAATTCCAATACTTGGATTACACCTTAGACGAATGTAATCAGAACCTCTAAGATTTCACATGCATTTCAGGTAATTCCAATGTGCATCTCATGGTGGAAAACCTCTTGAGCACTTGTTCTTTAGTAAACTTTTTCTGTTAAGGGCCAGGTATTTTAGGCTTTGCAAGCTGTACAGTCTCTGTCAAAACTTCTCAGTTCTGCTATTGTAGCGCAAATGGTGTTGACAATACACAAACGAATGAGTGTGACTGTGTTCCTGTAAGTATTTATATATAAAAACAAATGGCAGGCCAAATTTGGCCCACAGGCTATATAGTTGGCCAACCCCTGCTCTAGAGTAATTCATCTTCAAGGTCTTATCTGGCTCAAGATGATCTTTATAATGTCTTTAAAAAATAACATGTATCCCACTTCATGCATATTTGAAAATTTTCTATTCAAAAAGCTAATTATCCTCTCCTGCAACTGTATGGGTTGCAGTTTTATGGTTACCAGAAATCAAGGTCTCCTTTTCTCAGAAGCAAAAGTAAGGTTATTAGTTGTGAAAAAAAAAAAAATTCTGCTACTGCAGGAATACAATATGGTAACTGTAAGCAAGCTGACCCTGGTCAGCCCTCCTAACCTCAGCAGGAGTTCTGTATCGTATCTGCCTGTATATTTAAAGAGCAATAGGAAGCTGTGGGAGTGTTAGTGATGATGAAATAATCAGGTTTGGGTTTTTGTTTGTTTTTGGAGACAGGGTTTGCTCTGTTACCCAGGCACGAGGGCAGTGGCATCAACACATAGCTCACAGCAACCTCAAACTCCTGGGCTCAAGTGATCCTCCTGCCTCAGCCTCCTGAGTAGCTGGGACTACAGACATGTGCCACCATGCTTGGCTAAGTTTTCTATTTTTTGTAGAGACAGGGTCTCACTATGTTGCTCAGGCTGGTCTTGAACTCCTGACCCCAAGGAATCCACCTGCCTTGGCCTCCCAAATTACTAGGATTACAGGCGTGAGCCACCACACCCAGCCTAGGTTTGGGTTTTTAGAAGAATGCTCGAGCTACAGTGTGGAGGAAGGATGGAAGAGGGCAAGAGGATGCAGGCAGACCAGTTAGCAGTCTGCAGCAGGAGTCCAGGTGAGAGATTTTGGTGGCTTGAATTAAGTGGAGGTTGAGATGGAAAGGGGTAAATGGAGTCCCGCAATATTTTTAAAAGTAGAATGGCTAAGACTAGGTGATGGGTTTGTTTCTGGGGGTAAAGGGGAAGGAATCCAACAGGATTCCTAGATTACTGCCTTGTACATCTGAATGGGTGATGGGTCATCCACTGAGTTTAGGGAAGCACTGGAGGAGGATGGGGTAGAGATTTGGGTAAGTTCACTTTTGGACAAGTTGAGCTTGGTGTCTATTTGAGATACTTAAGTAAAGATGTCAGGAAAGCAGTTTGGATATGTAGGTCTGGATGTCGGAAGAGAAGGCTGAAGAACAGTTGCTGGGGGTGGGGGCTTGGGTGGAGGCAGAGGGTGTTTCTGGGTACCAGTAGATGAGGTTAAAGACCAGGTGACAGGAATTTTGCAGGAGACCCCAGTCTTGGACAGCTCATCTCCCTATCTTTGGAACAGGGAACAAAAATTTCAGGTTATGGGTACTGAAATATTGGAGGAAAAAAGTAAAATATATGTACCACAGTGAGGAACATTTTGGAGAGAAAAAGGAATATATATTTAACATTAAAACAAGTCTTTTTGTCCACTTTAGGAATTTTCTAGGGGACTAAAACTTATCTAGGAAGACAAAACTTTCTTAACCATTTTTTATTAAAAGTTTCCATAATAATAGTAGCTAAGATTTATTTAGTACCAGGCACTCTGCTAACTGCTTTGTATGGATTCACACTTAATCTTCAGAATAGCTCATGTATAATTTCCTTATACATTTGAGGAAACTTGAGGAAACTGAGGCAGTGGAGGTTAAAACTCTTGTTTAAGGCCATTCAGTAGCCTATGAATTAGACTGGAGCAAAAGCAGTCTAATTTCTGAGTCTGTCTCTTAACCTCCCAGTATATTGCTTTAATTTTTTTAACAGACTTTATTTTTTAGAACGGTTTTAGGTTCACAGCAAAATTGAGCAGAAAGTACAGCTAGTGTTAGTGGGAAATTTGTTGTACCAACTTCTCCCACTATCAAAGTCGCACCAGAGTTACAGTCAAACCTACATTGACACATTATCACCCAAACTCAACATTTTACATTAGGACTCACTCTTGCTGCTGTACATTCTATGGGTTTTGCCAAATGCTTAATGACATGTATTCACCATTACAGTAGTATGCAAAGTAGTTTCACTGCCCTAAAAGTTCTGTGTCCTCTGCCTCTTCATCCTTCCTTCCCATCCAGCCCCCGGCAGACACTGATCTTTTTACTATCTCCATGGTTTTGCCTTTTCCAAAATGTCATGTAATTGGATACTGCCTTGATTTTTAAGAATTCCCTGCATAATTAAACAGACTTCACAGAACATTCTTTAACCTTTTATTATTAAAAATATCTTTTATTTCTAAAATGAAGGATATTTTAAGAAGAGGAAAATATTAAAAGCAGTACAGTCATCTTAAAGATTGACAGAAAAAGAAGGAATGAAGCATGGGCAAAAAAATTTAAATGCATAAAAATCTTAGCATCACCATAACATGACCATTGTTAGGGTTCTGTTCATTTCAGCATTGCATTGGAACTTCATTTTGGAAATGCACCAGCTAAAGTTCGATCTTTATTATCATTAAGTACAGACCTTGTCATTGTATTGTGAAGGAAAAAACGGTGGCCCCAAATTCAGAGACCTGTATCATGTGGCTCTTGCCCTTAGTAGCCTCTTAACCCTGAGCAAGGCTGGATGACTGGAGGGGACTTTTAGGATCACGCAGTCTAACCCTGTTGGTCTAAAGGTGAAGGAACCAAGGCCCTGAGAAGTTGTGGCCCACCCAATTCCAGTCACCACTGACTCTCTGGAGCCTCAGTACAGTTAGTGCTGGCACACAGTTAGGCTTTCCCTCACCTGGAAAATGGAGGTTAAAATGTATGCCCTGCCTTCTCATCAAGAACGGCTGAGAGGATCAAATAATGTATACAAAGACACTTTGATAACCATAATTTGCTATACTATTAATAACATATTGTCTATTTTCTTTGTTACTGTTT